GAGATTTCAATTGAGGGTATGACATCAATTACAGTGTCAGTTTACTACCTAGTGGGTGAGATCTTGAGACCCAGGCCTCAACAGGGCAGGGCCCCAAACTCACTGACTCCTGACTGGCTCTAATGCTTTTGCTTCTAGGTTCCTGAGATATGTTCTGCTAGTGAAGGAGCCCAGGGCCTCCTCAGGGCTAGGCAAGTGATCATTTGGGTTTTTTGTTGTTATGGGTCTCACAAGGAGATTCACTGTGGGTCTCCTTGGGACTTGCTCTGCAGACCAGGCTGGTCTTGAACACACAGAGATCAATCTGCCTTTGCCTCCCAAGTGCTGGGATTAAAAGTGTACCACCACTGCCTGGCTTAATGGCGTGTTTATTCTTATTTTATGGGCATAGTGTTTTGCCTGAATGTACGTCTGTGTGCCACATGTGTTCCAGTACAGTGGAGGCCAGAAGATGAAATCAGATCAATCCCCTGAAACTGGAGTTACAGTTGGTTGTGAGCCTGCATGTGGTTTTGGGAATTGAACCTGGGTTCTCTGCAAGAGCAGCAAGGGTTCTAACTGTTGAGCTCTAACTGTTGAGCTGTTCCTTCAGCCCACCAGTCTATTTTTACAGGCAGGTTGTGTTTGCTTGAAAGAAGATGGGGCAGTGTGGTGATTTGAAAGAAAATGGACTCCAAAGGAAGGGGCACTATTAGGAGGCGTGGTCTTATTGGAGGAAGTGTGTCACTGGGGAGTTGGTCTTTGAAGTCTCTTATGTGCTCAAGCCATGCCTGTGAAATAGACTACTTCCTGTTGCCTTCTGATCAAGAGGTAGCCAGCACCATGTCTGCCTGCATGCCACTATGTCCAACCATGATGATAATGGACCAAACTTCTGAAACTGCAAGCTACCACCTCAATTAAATGTTTTCCTTTAAAAGTGTTGCTGTGTTCAAAGAGAATCCTTGCCTTTGTTTGAGCCCAGACCGCCTGTCCCTGCAGCCATTGCTTTCTGGTGTCAGACACCTGCCCCAGTTATTTCCAATAGCAGATACACACGAGTTCCCACACACTGGAGGACTACATAGCGATGAACAAGAGGGAGGCTGCGACACCAAAGCATGAAGGGACCTTGAGAACACCAGTCCACACAGCCTGGGACTCCATCACATGACATGATGGGCGCAAGAGACCCCAGAGCTGGAAGGGGGATTATGGGTGCCTGGCCTGGGGAGAAGATAGGTTGGTGTAGATGAGGAGGAATCAGGGAACCATGTCTACACAGAGCTGTGATGGAGAAATGTCAACTAAAGGGTAAATTTTAGCTCAAGAACAAAACACTCCCTGAGCTTGGCTGATGTTTTTCTTCTGCTTTCTCAGATCCTCTCCCTCACTTCATCCCCACACACACACACCCCACCGCCATCCCTAGGGCTTCCAAAAACCCTGCCCTGCTCCATGCAGATCCCATCATCCCTCCAGTCCATGCAAAGGAAGGCACTGTGGCCTTGGTCCAGGGCACACACTGCCTTCACTTGAAGTGATCACTGCTATCTGTGTGCAATCTTCTCCCCTCCCCCAACATCCTCACAAAACTGCTGATTTCCATGGCCTCATCCAATAAAGAAAGCCACAGGCAGGATCTCTACCAGCTAGGTCCTAAGGAGCAGGCTCCACCCAATGACAACTCCGCCCTTCCCATCCCTGCCCATTCCTTCCCTAGGCTCTACCCTAAACCTGTCCTAGTCAACCCCACCCTCTGTCCCTTCCTCAGCCCTGCCCATCTACCCCTCCCTCAGCCCCACCCATCAAACCCCAGCCCCTCCACTCTGCACATCAGCCAGCCCTTAGCCCCATCCAGCCTCACCTTTAACCCTATCCTCATCCCTTAGCCCTCAACCCACCCGGTCTCAACATTAGCCCCCCTCACCGTCCTACTTGTAGGCCCACCCTTACTCCCTGCCTCCTTTAGCCCACCCGCAGTTCCTCCCTTAGTCCCCCCAGCCCCACCCCTCACCCCACCCTCCACACTTAGCCCTGCCCAGCAGCAGCCCCACACTCAGCCCCAGCCCCTACTCTTAGTACCCCCCTCCCTGTATCATCCCCACTCAGGTCCCTCCCAGGCAGTGACAGCTCTTGGATGTAGCATTAGCCTCCCACGTGCCAGATGACAGGCATGAGTTTCTGTGTGTGACTACACTTGGGTACTCAAGGTTGCCTGGCCACTGATTCTCCCGCCATTGTCTCCTAGCTCCATGTTTTGACGGTAGAGGTCACATGCCTCAGGCATTGTATCTGTCCTAGTTAGGTTTTATTTTTTTTTTTTTTTTGTTTATTTGCTTTATTTTGTTTTATTTTATTAACTTGATAGAGCCAGAATTGAGGAAACTCATTTGAGAAAATACTTCTATTAGATTGGGCTGTGGGAAATTGATTGGGAGGGTCTGGTGGCCTAGGTGCACAAGAAAATAAGCTGCTGGGCAGTGGCACACCCCTTTAATCCCAGCACTTGGGAGACAGACACAGGTGGATCCTAGTGAGTTTGAGGCCCAACTGGCCTACGTGGTAAGTTCTAGCACAGCCAGGGCTCCACTGTGAGACACTCTTTGAAAAAAATAATTGTAAGTTGAGCAGCCAGGAGGAACAAGCCAGTCAGGAGCACTCTTCCACAGCCTCTCCCTGCCTCCAGGTTCCTGCCATGATGTCCTTCATGACGGATGGTGACGTGAAGTATAAGCCAAACAGACTCTGTCCTCACCAAGCTGCTTTTGGTCAGTGTGTTTGTCCCATGAGAAAGCACATCAGAGATGAGTGTGATGCAGTTAAGGCATTGAGGACACTGTACCAGGCTCTCAGGGAAGCATCCTGGGCCCTGAAGATGCTGGGCCCATCTCACCCACTCTGTGCAGGACAGCCATCCATGTCCCCAGGCCCAGCCCAGGTCTCACCATGCTGTGCTTCAGTCCTTTTCCTGAAGCCTCTCATTTAAGTGAACATCTGTTGTTGTAGCTATTGTAATAGTACCCCCACTTCTGGTACTAATTGTTAGATGTGAAAATCTAGATGGTGCACAGCTGCTCCTGTGCTCAGGGGAGGCTAAAGCAAAATTGCCTCCAGTTCCAGGCTACAGAATACGATTATGTCTGAAAACACATCTCAGCCCACAGGAGACAGAGGCAGGAGGATCAGGAGTTCAAGGTCATCCCCTGTTAGGAGTAAGGTTTTTCCTGCCAGCCTGGACCCACCACGCCGCCAGCCCCAAATAACACACCGAGACTCTGTATTTGATATAATGCTGTTGGCCAGGTACTAGTTTCTTATCGGCTAGCTCTGTCTTAATTATTAACCCGTTTCTATTAATCTAAGTATTTCCACGTGGTCTCATCTTACCAGAGGGGGCCGGAGGTTCTGCTCTCTCCAGTCTCTCCATGCTGACTCCTTCCTACTACTTCCTCCAATCCTCCTTGTCTCCTAGTCCCGCCCATCTTGCTTTCCTATTGGCCAACAGTGCTTTATTCATTAACCAGTATGAGAAACATATTTACAGAATGACATCTCCCATCAATCCCCTAAGATGTGAAATAAGTTCCTGTAGTCGAAATCTTCCTTGGACTGCTGATTGGCTCCCAAATAAAGACTTATTATTCATTATGAATGCTTGTCCTTAGTGTCAGCTTGTCCTACCAGCTCTTTTTAATTTATTTTAACCCTTTTCTATTCATCTATGCTTTGCCTCAGGGCTTTTTACTTTTCTTTCATTCTGTATGTCCTACTGTCCTGTGGTGATATTTTGTTATGATCTAACAAATAAAGCTTGCCTGATGATCAGAGAGCAAAGCTTGCTTGCCACACTAGTTAGTCATAGAGGACAGGCAGTGGTGGCAAACACCTTTAATCCCAGCACTTAGGAGACAAAGGCAGATAGATCTCTGTGAGTTCAAGGCCACCCTGGGCTACACAAGACTGAATCTGTCTAAAAGAGAAACAGAGACCACACAAAGGTGATCCCAGCACTAGGGAGGTGGACACAGGAAAGGATGTGGCTGGGCAGAGAGAGATGACGAGAGAGGCAATCAGTCTGAAGAGTCATGAAGACAGGATGAGCCCTTTCAGTCTGAGGTAGAGGTGAGACTAGTGACTGGCTGTTTTGTTTCTCTGATCTTTCAGCATTCCCCCTAATATCTGACTCTGACTTTTTATTAAGACCAATTAGATTTTGTGCTATACTTTCCTGCTTCCTCTGTGTCTGTCTGTCTTTCTGGCCCCTGGTGTCTTTTCTTTCTTCCCCTGAGCCTAAATTCCTCCTCCTACTTGCTGTCCCTGCATGGAAGCCCTACCTATACCTCCTGCGTCGCTATTGGCTCTTTATTAGATCAGTCAGGTATCTTAGGCAGGCAAAGTAAAACAGCAACATATTTTACATAGTTAAACAAACATTCCTCAACATAAACAAATGCAACACATTTTTTTTTTATGGTTAAGCAAATGCAGCACCTCTTTGCATAGTTAAACAAATAGTCTTCAACATGTTCCAGGCCAGTCTGGCCAGGTCACCCTGATTCATAAACAAAAGTGTGCTGGAGAGATAGCTCAGTGGGTGAGAACATTTGTTGCTCTTGAAGAGGAGCCAGATTCACTTCTCAGCACGTATATGGTGGCTTACAACCATTTGTAATTCCAGTTCCAGGAGTGGGGTAGGACCTGGACACCCTCTTCTGCTCTCCAAACAGAATAGACACTCATGTGGTACCCAGACATACATGAAGGCAGAATACTCATACACATAAAATACAAGCAAATCTAAAACAGAGACCAGCTTACAGGGACAAGTTTTCTTTAATGAAAATCCAGCAGTGACCAACAAAATTCTAGCTTGAATAGTCATACCAAAAATCAAAGAGAGATCCCCCCCCATCGGTAGCTCCAGTGTGTCCAGTCTCTGTGGACGCTAGGGGTGGAGCAGTAGCAGACAGAAACAAAGGCAGGCCTCCAGCACCAACACGCAGAGGTCCACTCAGAACTCATTTGACAGTCTGCAGCAGGTACAGCCCTTGGCACAGGAGCTGCTGGATGGTGGGGGTGCAGCCATGACTCCGTAAGACATCTAGTGAGTAGGAGATACCGGGGCTGGGTCCTCCTGGCTCCCAGAGGGTGAGCAGAACGCGCTCACCTTCCCCACTCAGCACCAAATGGGTTTGGGATGTCCTGAGGCTGACCTGGGAGAGAGTGACACTAAGATCAAGTGACAAAGGCTGACCCCACTGGCCTCAGTGCTGACCCTGGGGATGGGTACAAACACTGCCGTAGGAGCTGTACCTGTAAGAGCTAAGACTCAAGGCCAAGGGCTCCTTGAAATCAACAAAGAAGAGGGCTCAGCAGTGGATCTCCCCACCCCAACCACATCAACTGGGTAGCACATACCCCTTTCCTTTATTTTCTCTCTACATTTTAATTTACAATTTGTATGTATTTGTGCATGGGTTTGCTATGGTACACATGGAGAGGTCAGAGTACAACATGCAGGAGTCTGCTGTCCTTACACCATGTGGAAGGACGGTCCTGGGGATTGAACTCAGGTCACCGGGCTTGGAGGCAAGTGCCTTGAGCACTGAGCCATCTTGTCAATCCACCCTTTAGTCTGTTTGGTTCTTTGTTTTCCTATGACACTGCCTCCTGTGGCTCAGGCTGGCTTCAAAGTTGCTATGTAGCCAAGGATGACCTTGATCTCCCGGGCCTCTTTATCATAAAGATTTCCTGTCCTATTATTTATATTTCCATATGCCCAGCACAGCCTCAGCCTTGCACCCAGCCTCAGCAGTAACTTCAGGTCATCTCAGGTCCACCCCAGATCCTAGCTCCAGGACAGTCCCTCTCTGGGTCTCTGCCCCCTGGACTCCACTGTGCTCAGCGACCCAGGATTCTCTAGGGCAGTGGCACCTGCTGTCTGGCTGGGACTGAATATTATCAGCTTGGGTCAAGGACACAGGATGTGACCTTTGGATTTCTCCTGTTGTTCTGAATGCTGGCTCTTGACAGCCTGGTGTTCTGGTGACTACTTACCTGCACTGTCCCATTGCTAAACAGCATGACCAGAGCCCGGGAGTCAGCAACAAAGCTCAACAGAGAGAAGTCAGGAGAGGCCGGTGTCACAGGCATGGACATGGTCCCCTCCTGTGGGGACATGCTGGATCAGGGTCCCTTGGGTTGCACCTACGTCTCCCGTTCCTCCCCACACTCCAGGCTCTTACCTCTCGAACACGTTTCTGCATGTAGCAGGCAAAGAGCCGCAGGACAGCCAGCTTGGCCCGCAGTGGGCTGGGGATGTCCCTCAGGGTGAAGGTCCACAGAGTCCCTTGGTCAGGTTGGTAGGACACGTGGCTGGGGACCAGGGACCTGAATGAGTCTCTTACCTGGACACCCATGCCTGGGGTTGGGGGGTCCTCCCACACAGCTGCACTTGCTTCTACTCTGACCACCACTGTGACTACAGAGAACCCTAGATGTACCTCTCATCACCCAACTATGTCAGATCCTCCTCTACTGTCTTCATAGAAATGGCCACTGCCCTCCTGGCCAGCCGGGCTACCTCCCTGTCTAGCCACCTCTCTCACACCAAGAACACTATGGTAAAATATCAGGGCCTCAGAGGTGGCCTCAGTGGGCAGAGGACTCCTGAGGCTCTGGGTTCCATCCCCAACATAAAGAATAATAGAAATGAGTCATGAGGCCAAGAAGATGCCCCAGCATGAGAAGCTGGGTTCGGATCCAGCACCCAGGTAAGGTGGTGTGGTGGTGCAGGTCCGTAACCCCAGCACCAGGACTCAGTTCCAGTCTGCTGTCAGCTCCTTTGTGTTTGGGGACAATGTGTTTCCCTGTCTCAAGTAGACCAGGCTGGCCTTGAACTTGCAGTGTAGCTGAGGATGACCTTGAACTCCTGGTCCTCCCTCCACATACGGCTGCTGGGATGACAGGTGTGCAGCACTATCGTTCACACTCTGGTGGTGGTGAGGGAATCCTGGGCCTTGTGCATGCCAGGTGAGTGCTCTGCCTACTGAGCCACAGCCTGACCTCCACAAACATGGCCTCCCCAGTGACACACAACAGTGTTCATGTTATTACAAGTCCTCTTTCCCATCTCTGTTGGTATTTGTCACGTGGAAAAGAACGCAAAGCCAACTCCATCATTCGTTTCACCATGTCTCCTACTGGCAGACACCCATTTTCAAGAGAGGCCAGGGTAGAGCCTGCTTCCCTGGGGATATGAGCCCCACAAATTACCCTCCTGGGGGGCGCAGGGCCATGTGGGAGCCGTCCCGAAAGAGCACGCCGCTGCCTCCATCTGACAGCTGGTAGCCAAAGCCATACTTGAGGGAATAATCCACCCACTTGGGAGCCCAGAGGACAGGCTGCTGCTCCCCTGGGAGACCCTGTGCAGCTGAGCAAAGGGAGAGAAAGGAGCCAGGGTCAGGTGCTAGGCTGGGCTGGGCAGGGCCGGGCGGGGCTGGGGCAGGGATAGGGTGGGTTTTGCTGGAGTATATTGTGGTGGGGCTGTGGCTGGGCTAGGGCCACTCTTGGCTGCCTCACTTTTTGGTGGTTCTCCTACCCACGGGTCCTGAGTCCAAACATAGGTGCATTTTCCTGGTTGCCACCTCTACCTGAAGGGCCAAGCTCCCCTTTGGATCTGTAAAGACAAAGTCATGTGGTGCCCAAAAAGCCCTGGACTTCCACCCAAGAGGGGGTTTCCTCCCACCACCAGCGAGGTTCCCAACCTCCATCCCTGAAAGTGTCTTAACAAACCCTGATTATCCCAGGCATTTGTTACATTCTACAGATGAACAAACTGAGGCCAGGACACTCAGCATCTGCAGCCCTGTGCCTGGGATGGGGCGGTGTGCTGCTCACCGGCCAGGTCTGTCTGCAGGGTCCCGAGTGTGAGGAGGTGGGCTGGGCTCTCAGCACAGAGAGGAGCCCCTTCCTGGGACAGAGAGGGGTTTGGAGAGATCAGAGGTGAAATGTAACCCCATGCCAGAGGGCCCCCAGAGCCCACCATCTCACTTTATGCAAAGAACAGGTTTCCTCTTCAGACAAAACCTATGAGCTGCACAAAGTCACACAGAAGGCATTCAATAAATGTAGTACAATGAAAAATGATGTGAATAGGGTCCCAGGGTCTCAGTTTGAGGGACAGGTGGAACAGGAGCTGTAACAGACTGTCCTAGAATCCCCCAGTGAGGGGCTGGTGCATGGATCCAGGGGTGGCAGGGTTTATGGTCTGAGGTCTCTAGAGTGCATGGATGAAATCTACAGTCTGGGGTTTCAGAGAGGCCCAGAAGGTCTTGTCCGTAGCCTTCACTGAACTATTCACCTCATTGCTGGACTCCATGTGGTCAAGTTCTGTCCCTTCTTCTCCAGGGCCTGAAGCCTCTTTAGAGGTAAAGGGACCTGAGGAAAGCACAAGTGTGGTGGGCAGTGATGGTCACAGCTACCCCCGCTGTCCCACCATTCACCTCTGTCATGGCCATGGAGAAATGCCCATGGAAGGAAGAGACAAGTGCAGATGGGGAGGAACAGATGGCAGAAGTCAGGGCTGAGGCAGGTAAGAGGCTGTGACTCACAGGGTGGCCGGCACTGGGTCAGCAGGAGTTGGCCCACTTTTCGGAACAATCTGCCCAATGGCGGTGGGAAGGCGAAAACAGGTGGGCTGTGGCAGGAATGGGGAGGCAGCCGCTCTGGAGTGAAGCCCTTAGGAGTTGGTGAGCTCAGGGTCAGCCCTGGATCTGGATGGCCCCTGGGTCCCCAGAGACCCACCCTGCGGGACACGCCCTCACCTGAGTAAAGAAATCATCTTGGAGTAAATGGTCGAGGCTGGGCCGCTCAGCAGGGTCGGGTGCCAGGAGCCGTGAAATGAGGTTTCGAGCGTTGGGTGATAGGTGAGTAGGCTCCGGGTAGTGGCCATCACGGATATTTTGGTACATCTCTGACAAGGGTGCCGCAGTAAAGGGTGGTGTGCCGGTCAGCACCGTGTACCTGGGGCCAGGTTGGGCAGGGAAAGAATGAGTCAGGAATTCCCTGTGTATTCAGGAAGTGTTCCCATGTTTACACCATTCCTTCTTTATAGCATAGCCAATCCCACCCACCTATGTCTTCTGGCTCTCCTGTCTTCACATCTGCCCAAGACACACTCTGTCTGGCTGCCCACCAACCTGCGTCCTGCTCTCTTCGCCTCCCCCCGTGCTGGCGTGACAGGTTCTGGGCATGGCACCTGGGGCTTTCATGCATGCTAGGCTGGAGATTTGCCAACCAAACCCTAGCCCCAGCCACACTTCAATGTAATTGGCGCCCAAGATGGGGCAAGAAACCAAGACCTGGACATAAAGGGCCATATGCTCACTGGGTGTGTGCACCTTTAATCTCAGCACTGGGGAGGCAGAGGCAAGTGCATCTCTGAGTTCAGGGCCAGGCTGATGTACATAGCGAGTTCCAACTCTAGCTAACATGTGTCTAATCTGTCACATGCATACACACCCACCCCCATTGTTCTTTCTGCCCATACCTAGTCCCCCTTCCCCCTCCCCGCCCCACCTCCTGCCACCTTCCTTAGACCCAGGTCCCTTACTTACATGATGCAGCCCAGAGCCCAGATATCAGACTTGCAGGAGTGTCCATTTCGGGACACCACTTCAGGAGCCTGGAAATTTGGAGTCCCGCAGAGCACCCTGGGAGGGGAATCACGGGAGGTTCAGAAAGTCGAGGGCTTCCTGGTCCCACTCAGTACCACACAGACCCTACCACCCTCACCTATGGCAGTGACCGGCAGGCCCCACCCGGGCAGCCAGTCCTAGGTCTCCGATCTTCACCTCCATGTTCTTGCTAAGGAAGAAATTACCTGCAGGTAGGGAGGAACATGGCATGGGGGCATGAGGGAGGCTTCCCAGTCCTTTACGATCCTCCCAGGCCCCCCAAAAGTCCCCTCTGTATGCTTACTGGGCTTCAGATCCCTGTGCACGATGCGTTGTTGGTGCAGGTAGCGCAAGCCGCTGACCAGACCCCGAAGATAATAGCGCACCTCAGGCTCCGTCAGGGTTCGTCGCACTTTTAGCACATGAGCCAGGGACTATAGGAGAACCTGGCATTCATTAGATGAGCTGTGGATTCTAGGTTCACACCCGGGCACAGGGAAACCCCACTCTGCCAGGGAGAGCAAGGCTGAGGATGTGTGGGCCCAAGTGGGTGCAGGAGGAGGTCATATGTGGGGACAGGGGACACCGGTAGTTATGAGGACACATAGACATAGGCTGGACAGAGAAGAGGCCTGCCTGGCTCTCAGTTGCCTGAGCCAAGTCTCACCCCAGAGTCAGCCCCTCAAGCAACAGAACCATCAACCAAGCCCTGCCACACGCCAAGACCCGCCCATCAAGAAGCCCCGCCCCTCCCTCCAAGGCCCGCGACCACCTGACGGCTGCAGTACTCCAGCACCATGTACACGTGGTCGCGGTCTGCGAAGTGCCCATGGAAGGCCACGATGTTGCGGTGGCGCAGGCGGCTGTGCAGGGCGATTTCACGCTCCACCTGTGTCCCCATGAAAGCCCCTCAGCTGCTGTGCAGGCGACCCAGTTCCCTTGCTCTCAAGGAGGGAAGAAGGATTGCCCTGGGAGAGGCTGGGCGGGTGTCTCACCTTTCCGCGCAGGCGCAGCCGCCCCACCCCGCCCCTCGGCACCACCTTGAGGGCGAACACCCCGCTGGTGGACATGTCTGTGAGCTTGTAGCAGCGGCTGAAAGCGCCCTGCAGAGGACAAGAGACAAGGTGTGGACAGCGGGCCACACCCAGAGACACAGGTCTGCAACACACTCAGCCAAGATACCGCAGCTGTCACACCCGGATACCTCACACCACAGTCGCCCACTAAATAGATGGGTCCCACGGACCTTGCCAATCAGGAGCTCCATGAACTCTACTGCACAGGACAGTCAGAGACCCATGACACCCAGAAACACAACATCCACACACAGCACTTCCCCCGACAAACAGCACCCCCCCCACAACATTCACACACATTACCCAGACACACTATACCCACATACAGCAACCATATACACAACACCCAGACACACCCCCTCACAGCACTTCCACACACACACCTACAAACAGCACCCACCACTTGGCATACACATACACACACACACACACAACATACACACACAGCACCTACATACAAAACGCCTACACACACACCCAGCCAGACACCCCCCCAGCATTTCTACACACAACTACACACACAGCACCCAGACCAACAACACTCAGACACACAGCACCCACAAAACAAGACACACACACAAACACACTCCACACACACATACAAAATATCTGGACACAGAACACAACAGCTAGACACACCACACGCAGATACACAGCTTACACACACTATCCAGACACATACAACATTTAACACATGAAGGTCCTCAAACACAACACCCAGACACAAAACACAGCACCCAGACACAAAACACAGCACCCAGGTACACCCCATATACAACCTCTGGACACATGGCACGACACTCAGACTCAGCTTAACACCCTCTAGAGTCCAAGCCTAGCACACGGCTACGAAGGGAGCAATCCCCAGCCGCAGCCAGGTAGGAGAGAGCTGGGTGCAGGGCGCAGACCCCACACGCATCTCCTCACCCACCGCGGAGGAAAGTGACAACCCGGTCACTGCGTGCTGAGCACCAGCTGTGGACCCAGAGAACGCTCAGTGCCCGGCTAATGCCGGCGATACACACGCTCCGCACACAGCGTGCCAAATACGGTTCCAGCCTCGCCATCCACCCCTGGAGCCCAAACTCAGGGAACCGGGGACGCCAGCCATCATGCAGGAATTGCCGCCCTGCCCGAGACACACACACACCCCCAGCTCTCCACCTCCCCACCTTTTGAACTCGGGTGTGTGTGAGCACGCGCGGGATCCCCCACCTTGCCGATCAACTTCCCGCGCCGGTACACACGCCCGGATCCTGGGTCGTGCAGGAAGGCGGCCACCAGCTGGCGACTCCGCCGCCGCCGCTGTGACCGGGACTCCATCTGCGCGGGATGGGCCTGGGCACGCAGCGGCAGCAGGGACTGCGCAACCCAGTGCTGCCTGCAGCACCGCTGCTCTGGGCCGGGCGATTAGCGGAGCGGGTCTTATTGGAGAGGGGGGCGGGGCGGGGCGGGTCCCGGACTCCCGTGGGATCCTGCCAGAGTCGGGGTGGAGTGGCAGGTGCTCTGGCGCCAACCCGGAGCCAGGCTCAATTCTACCACTCTCTAGTCTCCTGGGACCTGTTGACAGGGTCGGGTTCACCCACCCAGGAAACTGAAGCCCACAGGACTCAGCTGGTTCCTTTGCAAAGGGGTGGGTGGCCAAGAGTCCGTCTGGGGTACATCGGAGGCCTGAAGCATCTGGCTGGGTCCTCCATACATGAGCGACCTGTGGGGCTTCATCACCTTGGACACTGGAAAGCCACAGCAGGATTTAGAGGGAGGGCCGCCTAGGGAAGTTTGACAACCTAGGGACCAAAGAAGCGGGGCTGGAAGACTACAGGCACAACAGGGCAACCAGGATGAGGGGCAGATGGTGTGTGATACTGGCTCTGATGGCTGAATTAGAATTAACCCATAAGATGTAGGTAGAGGCTAAGATGGAGCTGGTAGAAGAGATACCAAGGTAGCCATGGATGGGACTTTTGAGAAACTCGGGCTACCTCTTACCCGAGCCCACCCCTCACCTCCCACTTCTACCACACCCACATGCTGCGATAAACCATTTCTGCACCGCAGGAATCTAGGCCCCTGGGCCCCGCCTCCATGTGCCAGGTGGGAGTCCCCTCACTCACAAAGCCAGGCAGGCACAGGGCAGGGTGTGAGCCCGCCATCTGTCTCTAGTATTAATCCCCGAATGTTATATAACACAATAAATGGGGAGGGATTAGCCTGACTCTGAGCGGCTGGATTCAGGCTATGGAATTTTCCAGAGCCAGAATTTGGAATCTGGCCTGGCCCGTGCCACTGAGGGGAGACAAGAAACACCCCTTGAGTGCTCACGTCTTAGTGTCCCCCTGGATGAGTTCAGGGATGAGCCCCGTGTATCTTGTGGAACAAGGCTGATACAAGTCACTTGTGGATCTCTTTTGCGGCTGAGGTAAGGGTCCCCAGTTGCTTAGGGGCCAGACAGCTTCAGCCAGAGAGCCCAGAATCCCTGATAACTCTAAGCTGGTGCGGGTGGGGGTGGAACCTTCTCGGTCATACACCCCTCTTTCTGTGTTGGATTACTGTGGGTTGAACATCTACTGTGTTTGCTAAGCATCTTTGGATTGGCTGAGTACTTACCTTGTTCTCCCAGACAGCCCCAGCCCAGTCATGTAAAATGGTATGTTTAAGAAGCTACAAGGAAGCTGGGCATTGATGGACACACCTTTAGTCCCAGCACTCAGGAGGCAGAAGCAGGTGGGTCTCTGTGAGTTCCAGGCCAGCCTGGTGTACACAGTGAGTTTCAGGACAGGCTACAAAACAATACAGAGAAACCCTGTCTCAAACAAAAACAAAACAAAACAAAGAAGAAGAAGCTGCAAGGAATTGGTCCAAGGTTCAAGCACATGGAGGAAGAGGAAATGTCTGGGGGTCTGTGAGATGGCTCAGCAGCTAAAATCACTTGCCTGGGAAGACTGCCAACAGGAGTTTGATTCTGGGCAACCAAATTCCAGACTCCCAAAAGGTGTCGTGCAACATCCCTCCACACATGTGCTGTGCCATGTTCGTGTTCTCGCTCACACAAACAGTAGTAACAATGGCAAAATTTAAAAGGCATTGTGGGCTGCAAGCCAAGACTTCCAAGGTTTTTTTCTGGGATCCAGTCCCTAAGTTAGGTGCCATTCAAACCCCAAGTGGCAGGCAAGGAGGCTCATTCAAGCTCAGGGTCTCCCAGTGGAGCGTTTGTATTTTGTTCCCCCGACTTCCAGCCCCAGGGACAAGCACTTGGGTGGGTGGCTGAGTCCACAGAATATAGCAACTTCCTGGGATAGAAGAAACAGAGCTCCTGGCCTGGAGCCCTGCAGTGTGCATCCGCTGACAGCTCTCCCCCCACCCTCTCCCTCCTGGCTGCTCCTGGGATGTCTGTGGTTGAGCCTGCACCTGAGAGCGGCAGCCTCCTGCCAGCCTGTGCCTCACTGACACACCCTACTCCCCAGAGCCCCTGCCCCCCCCCACCTGGTCCAAGCCACTCTTGGCTCTCCTGGAAGGTCTCTGGCAGTGTTAGGAGATGGAGGGTTGTAGGATGGGTTTGGGGTCTCCTTTGGGAGTGATGAAAAAACTGTCTAAGTGAAATACACTCCAGTGTCACTGTGCAGTGGGTCTGGGAAGATGTGAATGGTGTGTGTGCTTTGCACACATTACAAGGCTGGGGGAGGGGCTTTGAGCCTAGTTCTTCAGGGGTTAAGGCAGAAGGATTGTGAGTTCCAGGCTAGCTTTAGTTACAGAGTGAGCTCAAGAGGTAACCTGTGCTAACTGAGACCCTGTCTCAAAAACTTAAAGGAGCCACTTGGTGGTGCACACCTTTAATCCCAGCACTTGGGAGGCTGAGGCAGGCAGATTTCTGTGAGTTTGAGGCCAGCCTGGTCTACAGAGTGAATTCCAGGTCAGTCTTCGGGCTACACAGAGAAACCCTGTCTGAAAAAACAAAACCCACCAGCAACAACAAAAACTGACAGAAAAAAAAAAAAAAAAGATGCACCACAGCCAGAAGGCAGAAGCAGCTAGTGCCCACGAATCATGATGGACAAACACTTGGTGGGTTCTGTTCCCATACTGGAATATCATGCCCTATGAACAGGAGTGAGGTTCTGGCACCTACAGCATGGAGGGTCCTTAGGGACATGGTGCTCAGTGAGAGACCCAGATACAAAAGGCCATATAGTATGGACTCCAGAACAGGAAATGTCCAGGACAGGCTAATCCCTAGAGACAGGAAGTGGGTTTGTGGGTGCTGGAGAGTTCATAGTGAATGTCAAGGGAGCTTCAGCATAGGTAAATGGAAAGTTCTGGAGATGGATGGTAGGGGCAGTTGCATGTGAATGAGCCATGCAGTAAGAAGATAGAAATACCCATGTAGCATAGGATAGCCTTGAACTCCTAATCCTCCTGCTTCAACCTCCTGGGTTCTAGATGACAGGCAAATACCATCACACCTGGCAAAAACTGGCCAGCTTTACACTAGACATCATCACTGAGCCTCCATAGCCTGAGGTCTTAGGCATGAACTTCAGCCTAAACACCCTGAATCTGCTGCGCCCCAGACCCAGCTCTGGTTCCTTCCATCTCTGTGCTTTTGCTGAACTGAGATAACCCTTCAGACTCAGCAGATTCCTCTGGAGAAGCTTTAGGAAGCATTGCTTAAAATGCCTGCTGCAGGTGGAGGGGGTGGCTGCTGCCCGCCACTGAGACTCTCCGGGCTTGTGCATGGGTCCTCGAGGTGGCCCAGGCTTCCCAACCACATGACCGAGAAACAGTGCCTTGTCCCTATCTGGGCTCCACGTGGCTGCACCCGTGAGCCCTCAGTCACTCACAAAATGTCCCCAGAGACTTGGAGTCCCGAGCACTAAGAGGCAGGAGTACAGTGACTATCCTGAGCGTTCCCAACACCCCAGGATCTGGGCAAAGTGACCCAGCATGAGTGTGTGTAGGAGGGACACCTAATGTGCTGACTGCCCAGGAAGGTGACTTTAGCAGTGGTGGTGGGAGTGGGCTGATATGAACTACTCTTGTCCCTCCCACCTCTCAGTCTCAGCCTCTCAAATTCAGAGCCTGAAGCAAGGGCTCTGGGCAGAGCCAATTGGAAGCTGCTCACTCTCAAGGCCACTGAGGCAGGGACCCAACTGGGGAATCAGAACCCGTGAGACTTTCACAGTGACAATGGACCACATCTGAACACATCCTCACTGGCCAGTGGCCACACCCTGGATGTCAACTGTCATGTGTCCACTCCAGAACCACCAGGACGCTCAAGAAGGTCTCGACGCTGTAGTAGCCTCAGGGTTGGGTTACTCTGGTCTTCCTGTAACTTCTCACACCCACACCCAGCCTGTCCTACCCCAGGGCCTTTGCACACATAGTGGCATCTTCACAGAGCACTCTCATTACAAATCTTTCCAGGACAACCCAGTATCCAAGATGGATGTGGACACAGTGTGCCCCATCTAAAGGCTGGAATATCATACAGCCCAAACAGGAGTGAGGCTCTCCGAACAATGCTGCAACTGGAGAATCAAGGACATAACTCCCCTGGCTGAAGAGATGGCTTTTGGGTTAGGAGCACTGACTACTTTTCCAGAGGAGCTGGGTTCAATTCCCAGCACCCACATGGCAGCTCTGTCTGTAACTCTAGCTCCAGGATCCAACACCCTCACACAGACATAAATGCAGGCAAAACACTAATACACATTAAAAAATAAGATGAAAATAAAATTTGAAAAGAGAAAAAACAATTCTCTATTGCTGAATGGGTCTGCTCTGACTTTTTCTTTGTTTTTTACATTTTATAGTTATTGAATTTTTATTTTATTTTTAATTGTGTGTGTCTGGGTATGGGTATGGGCATGTACTTGCCAACCCCCCTCACCCTGATTCTCCCAGAGCTGCCCAATGCAGGTTCTGGGAGCTGAACTTGGCAGAAGCAAACTCTGTGAGCCCTCTCTTCAACCTCTGTTCTCTTTTCTTGAGACAGGGTTTCCCTGTGTAGCCCTGGAGCTCACTCTGTAGACCAGGCTGGACTCGAACTCACAGAGATCTGCCTGCCTCTGCCTCCTGAGTGCTGAGAATTGAGGGGTAGGCCCTGAAATCTCACCTACCCCTTGTTGCCCCCAAGTGGTTCTACCTGCAGCTTCAAGGTCTGATTTGTCCTTGAGGTATCCCTGCTCTCCTGCCTTCCTGCTGAGAGTCTCAGTGTCCTCAGGGGATCTGTGTCCTTGGTGCCACTGACCAGCAGGTTGGGCTCCTGCAGCACAGGCCCCTCCCCAAATCCTTTACCCTTCCAGACATGGCATTGACCTCCAAGTGGGGACATTGATCAACTTTGCTGAGCAGGGTGCTGTGTGGACATTGGAACTGGTGAGGTTTCTGCAGAAGTAATCTGTTTTTGTCTGTGTGGGTCTTTTTGCTAATGGCAGGGAAAAAGCTGAGTGTGTAGCGGGGGAGGGGAAGTGAGCTACTGAGCCAGGTATGGTAGCACGTACCTGTCATCCCAAAACTCAGGAATGGAGGCATAAGGATTTGGAGTTTAGGGTCAAGGTCATCCTCTGCTACAGAAAGAGTTCAAGTCCAGCCTGGGCTATTTGAAATCATGTCTCAAGATAATATACACAGTTATAACCCCAGCAATGGGGAGTTGGAGATGGGGAGGATCAGGGCTCCCTGGCCAGCCAGCCTAGGAGAACCAGTGAGTTCCAGAGAGTGAAAGACCCTGTTTGAAAAAACATGGGGGAACACCAATTGAGGAAGACACCTGAAATTCATCCTGGCCTTCACACGCATGCATACACAGAAGCCAACTGAACCCAATGTTGCCAAAGTAGACAACAACTGAGTCATCTGCCTTCAGATCATGCTAGATCCAGTAACTCCAGTTTCTCAGACCCTGCTTCTGCCTCCCTGCAGTTCTTGGGCTGACAATGCAGCAGGTACCAGGTGTATGAGCCCAGTGCCAGCCACTGGGAAAAGCCAAAAGACAACAAAATGTTTCCTCCATCAGTTAGCACCCCACAGGGAAGACAGGAGCCCAGAGCTCCTCAACACACACTCACAAACACACAAGATGACCTGGTCAATGTGGGTCCTGTTCTGTCCCCCTCATTCCTGTGCCGTGGGACAGCCAGGAGCCCCAGAGAGGCATAGAGTCTGGATAGCAGTGCTGGGACCCCAGGGCCTGGGGAGGCATGAGGGAGCACCCGGGGAACCAGGAGGCAAGGCCTCAGGCCCCAAGGACCTCAGGAGAGTTCTGACGAGGTTCAGCCTTCCTTCCTGATTTTTTGAGGAAGTCTTACTCTGTAGCTAATGATGACTTTGAACTCCTGATGCTCCTGCATCCACCCTCCTAAGTTCTGGGATGCCAAGTGTTTGTAACAGCTCCTGACTGAATTTCATGTAGCCCAGGTTGGTTCAAGCATCCTATGGATCTGAGGATGACCTTAAACTCTTTGCAAGCCCACTTGTACCCTCTTGATAAATGTTAAAGAGCATAAGCCAAGCTGTTGGCCATTTGGTTTGTAAGCCCAGGACCCTGAACATATGGTAGTCAAGAGCCCACTACACTCTGTTCCCTGTTTGCATCTCGTTCTGGCCCAACCTCGGGGGAAATGGGTCCTAGGCGCTCTGAGGGTGAGGACCCAGCTGGCTGGGAGGTTTGGGGCTAAGCTGTCCCCAGCAGCAACTCTTGGGACAGCAGGAACTCTGGTGCTGTGCTGCGCCCTCTGCCAGATGAAGGCGGGACTGCATGAGGCGCCGCACAGCGCCTGCTCCGAACACACCTCCTGAGCTCCGCACCTACAGTGAATGCTCTGGTAGGATCAGTGCTCGCTGTATGGCTCCTTGCAAGGCTCAGTTTTTGCAGCGCTTTTGCTGCGCTCCTGCTTTACCGAGTATAGCGACTGCTGTAGGAACTCTGGGAAAAGAACCACATCCAATGACACACTCTTCAGGGCATAATGCCTCCTGTAGGCAGTGGCTGCAGAGCAGAGTGCCTGCTGTATACTACCCCCACAAGAGAGAATGCCTATAGTATATGTTTGCCATGCCGGGCACAGTGCCTGCTGTATGCACATCCTGCAAAACACAATGCTTCCTGTATACACGTATCATGAAGTACATGGTGCCTGATGTGTACCTCCCCTTCAGTGACCGCTAAATGCACCCCCTAAAGAGTATAGTTCCTGCCCCGTGTTGGTGGCCCACACCTTTAATCCCAGCACTTGAGAGGCAGAGGCAGGCATATCTCTGTGAGTTCCAGGCCAGCCTGGTCTACAGGGCTAGTTCCAGGACAGAATCCCAGGCTCCAAACTACACAGAGAAAAAAAAAAAAAAAAAAAAAAAAAAAAGCACAGTTCCTATTGCATTTTTCCCCGGGAAATCAGTCTGCTGCCTGAGCTTCCTTCCCCCACACTGTCCTCATCTTTGCTTCACTGAGGTGCCTTCCTCCCACACCAGGACTTCAGGACTGTCCTTTATTTTTGTGCTGGCCCGGGCTAGACCATCCCTCTCTCTGACCCCTGTTCAGTGGGACCCCTTCTGACACTCCATGCTAGGCCTTAAATCTTTTCTTCAATGGGATGATTGAAGTTGGAGTGAGGGCCAAGGGTGGCCTCCTCCCCATGCTGGAACTGGCTGCTTTGCCTACAGCTATGTGCACACAGGAGCCTGCAAAACGACACTGAGTGGATACACTCTGAGATGTTTCCAATGGCTGTCCCTTGCTGGGCCCTGAAGCAGGAGTATACAAAGGCACTGTGCCCTGCATGGAGTGGACACTACAGGCGGTCTGCTTTTCAGGGACTGCATACATGAGACACTGAGCCCTGAAGGGAAAGCACTCCAAACCGGGGCATCCAGGTGGGCTTCCTAGAGAAGGCAACTTCAGCACCCAGGAACAGCACGGTCCACACAGGGCTGACCATTGCAGTGTCACTAACTTCCACCGGGCTGCCAGGGTACGCCATGGAGATGGGAATAGTAGGAGCTTTGGAGGATCCAGAACAAGCTGACTGGGTACCGGAGTTGGGGAAACTGAGGCGGAGGACTTGAGGCCAGAACCAGGCAAGGGAAACTGCCTTGGCAGCGAGCCTGGAGGGCGGGACTGGGTGGAGCATCGGTGACGGCAGCGCTGGGGAATGTGTGGCAGGGAGAGTCCCTCCACCCACAGCGGGCCTGTGGGCCTGGGGCCTCGTGAGGGGATGCTGGGGACCCGGGTGGGGAGTCTGGTTATAGAGGGGAGATGGGGACCAGGACGGGAAGGACTAATTAGGGGAAATGGGGACCAGGGTGGGGAAGTCTAATTGGGGGTGATGGGACCGAATTGGGAGTCCCTGAGATGGACAGTTGGGACAGGTCGAGGAGCCTGGGATGAGTGGATGATGGGGACTAGGGTTGGTGTGGAGAGTTTGGTTGCAGGGTGATGCGGACCAGGATGGGGTACTCAGGGTGGGAGGGCATCCTAGTGTGCACCCTAGTATCCACTCCAAACCCCAGCTCCAGGAACATTCCCTGGCTCTGAGTGCTGCCCGGTCACTCTCTCTCTCTCTCTCTCTCTCTCTCTCTCTCTCTCTCTCTCTCTCTCTCTCTCTCTCTCTCTCTCACACACACACACACACACACACACACACACACACACACACACACACCTGCGCAGCGCACCGCAGCTAGATTTTCCAATGTCATTGACACCCAGGATACCAGGACCAACATTGAGCCACGACACTGCCGGGCTCAGTCAGCCAGTCCCCTGCCTCAGCTCCATGCCCAACGCGTGCACCCTCTCCTGCCGCACGAGGGCGCCCCGGGCCTGCGCCCTCAGTGACCCCAGCCTGGGCGCGCCTGGGAGGCCCGGGTGGGAGGGACCGACTGAATTCCCAGTCCCGCACCTCGGGGCCCCGCCGCTTCCGCCAGTCCCTGGGGCGTCCCAGGGAAGCCTGGACGCCTTGCCTTGGGCTCTGAACAGCCGGTAAGTCCCTCTTCTCATCCTGCCACTGTCCCAGCTGGCGTAGCAACAATGTAATTGGCTTCTTTCCCTCCTTGGGCCGAAAGTAGCGATCCCTAGGATGGTGGTGAGTTTGGAGGTTGCACTTCCTCCGGGGTGGAACTGAGGTTCTGAGGACTGGCTTGTCCAGTGACTTCTATGCCAGTGCAGGAGATGGGTGTACTGATTCGGAGAGCGCATTGACAGGCGTGGGTAGGAGGCTCCCCACGAAGGGGTTGTGGGACTGCCAAGTCCCCTCTGCAGCCTCTCTTCTTTCCCGAGCAAGCCCAGCCTCTAGGGCCTCAGAGGACGGGCTCCCGATGGGCATCGAGGAGCAATTCCCCAGGGTCTCCAACTTCTACAGGCACCTCGGTCCCCAAAGTGCTCTAAAGAATGGAATGACAGCATCAGACTAGCTGACAACCGGGGAAACCCTAGCTCCAGCCAGGCTGGGGAACCTCCGGCCTTCCCCTTTATCAGGTACCTGGACCCTGCAGGCTGCTGAACGGAACTTTTGAGATCCTGTGTGCCCTTCAGAGCTCCTGGCCCTGGCCCCAGAAGGGACTCATGGGGCCTTGGTTCCTTTCCCTCCTGGCTTGGCCTGCCAGGCTCGGATCACGAGGAGGGTGTGGGCTGAGAATGACTTCATCCTGTCCATGTAGATGGGGAAACTGAGGACTCTACTCAACCCTACCCTGCCTGCTTTCTCTGCAGACCCGCTGGGCACAGCAGCCCACACCCCTGGCAGATGAAATCATGACGCACATGTTGGAAAGAGGCCAGGTCAGCTTAACACGCCTCACCACAGGGAGATTCCCTAGGCTATGAGGGATCCCCAGAGGCTGGGAAGCAGCTGGGAGGGTGGCATTCTTTGTATACCGAGTTTCTGAATGAGCCCCCCCTGGCTGCCCCCTCTACAGGGTCTCGGAGATGCATGGACACTGGGCAAACTAGGAAAATAGAGGCCTGAGGAAACGGAATGGTTGGCTCCTGGCCATCCAGGAAGGTAGATGGAAGAGGTGGATAAACTTTCCGCTACCCAAACACTGTCCTTACAGGATTCCTCCTGTCGTTGGCATTAGGTACCTACTGTGTGCATTAGAAAAGAACACACTACCAATAATAATAGTAGATTAAGCTGAGTGTGTGGCAGCCCAGGCCTATTAGTCATGACCCAGGAGGCTGAGGCAGGCCTAACCTGAGCTACCGGAACAAGACTGTCTCGAAGGAGGAGGAGGAAGAGGAAGAGAAGTAGGAGGAGAAGAAGAAGAAGAAGAAAGAGAAGCCAGGTCCTAAGGCAAACACCTAATGCCTGTCGTCCCAGAACTAGAAGGGAAGGCACAAAGGAAATGAGACCAAGGTCACCCTCAGCTACCTAGGGAATTTAAGGCTAGATTGGGCTACAAAAAAAAAAAATTAAAAATTAAATAACCCAGGCATGGTGACACACACCTTAATCCTAGCACCCGGGAGGCTGAAGCAGGTGGATCTCAGTGAGTTGGAGGCCAGCCTGGTCTACTTGGAAAGTTCCACACCAGCCTGGGGCTACACAGTGAGACCCATCTCAAATAAACAAAGAGCTGGAGAGATGTTTAGGGTTCAAGATCTCATCCCACTGTTTAAGAGAGCTCACGTTTGCTTCCTAGTACCTTGCAAGGCTGCTCACAACAGTAACCTGACTCAGCTCAAATGGAGATGACGATTTTGCATCCTCAGGCGCTGCACGTTAAGTAGAAATAAATCCTCTGTTTTGTTTTTGTTTTTTAAGAAACGGTTTCTCTGTGTAGCCCTAGTTGTCCTGGAACTCACTCTGTAGACCAGGCTTGCCTCGAACTCAGATCTACCTGTCTCTGTCTCCTGAGCCCTACGATGAAAGACATGGGCCACCACCACCTGGCTATAAAATTAATTTTTAAATAAGTAACAATAAATTTCCTAGTCCCTACTGAGTGCCTGACCTGAGCCAATAACCCCCTCACAAAGCTTTCCGAAAAGGGCCGGGCTGTTGTTACCTCGTTTCTTTTTAGAGACAAGAAGGCACAGAGAGGTTTAGTCGCCATCGGAGATCACACAGCCAGCCAGGGATGAGATGGCAATCCACCCTGATCCTGCTGGTCACTGCCTCTTGGGAATCCTGTGCTCCCTCAGACACTGCCTCTTCCGAAATCTTCTGCTCTTGTTGTGGACCCTCCTGAGTTGTCATTTGGGGGGTACTGCTCAGGTAAAGGGGTGAAGGAACCCAGGAAGCACATAGGAATATGGATGTGGCGGAGGAGGGGGGACCCCAGCTTTCCTCTGGGCTGATTCTCCTCTCTGCCCTCAAGTAGGGTCTGGGGGAATGGACGCCCTGGGGGTCTTGGAGCAGGTGTTCCAGCTCATGCGGCCAGGGCGTCTCGGTGCGCAGCCGCCGTTGTGTCCAGTAAGCCGGGAGCCCCTCCCTCTGCCGCCTGCCGGGCCGCGCCCTCTGCCTGCCCACACACGCAGTGTGCCCTTTAATCCCATGGAGCCAGCTGGAATGCGGGTGGGGCTGGTGGGGGCGGAGGGTGGCCTGGCGGGTGATGGGAAGGGGTCCCTGATGTAGGGGAGTCCTGCTATACTCTGACCACTCTGTTTCTTGTAGACTTCCTGGGGAGAAACCTTGCTGGGGGGACAGCCATGAATATCGGGTGTGCCAGCAGCCGGTAAGGCCTAGGGTCCGCCTTTACTCCCTCTTGCTTTTTCATACCCACTGCAAACATCCCTATGCTTTTTCATACCCACTGCAAACATCCCTACTTGGTTTCCCAGATCTCTCTCTCTCTATCTCCTCTCTCAGAACTGCCCCCCAGGGGCAATACCCTTCCGAGACCTGCAGTGTGCTCTCTATAATGGCCATCCTGTCCTGGGCATCCAGAAGACCTATCAATGGGTGCCCTTCCATGGGGGTGAGTAACCTGACCTCCTGGGGTTAAAAAGAAAAAGAGAACTTTGAAAGGAGTTAAGAAATACCCAGAAGAGCAGGCATTGGGATGGGGTTTGAAGCATCTATAGGAGCTGGTGAAGGAAGAAAGTGGTCCCTTTGCACAGGGACAAACTCCAGGCAGAGGGGTGACTTAGAGTTTTATCTAGAGGCCAATAGTTTTCAAGCTGATCCCACTAACAGGAAATGTTGTCGCACGGAGCTGAAAATAGCAGCTTATATAACTGGGTGCCCCGGGCATCACGCCTCCACATTGAAGGGAGACAGGCAGCTTCAGCGGCTGGCTGTTGTGGTGGAGACAGACAAGACCAGCCTAAAACAGAGAACATTCCATCAACTCTTGGGGCTTCCTTGCATTTGCCCCATCTCACCCCCACAGTGTTGACTAGGTTGGCCTTGTCACCGGCAGGGTCTGCTGTCAGCCAACCTGCAGGTCTCATCTGACAGGGAGGGGAAACTGAGGTACCCTGCAGGCCGGTAATACAGCCAAGCTCCAGGGCAGTTTTATTGTGCCTGAATGGGAAGGAGGGAAGGGAATGGAGGTGTGGCATGGGAGGGGCAGGGCTTGGAGAAATGGAGCAATGGGGAATGGAGAAGACTTGGGGGTGTAGGATGCCTTACCCAGGGCAAGAGAGGCAGAGGCAGGTGGATCCCTGTGAGTCCGAGGCCAGTCTGGTCTACAAAGCAATTAGTAGTACAGAGACCCTGTCTCAAAAATAAAACAAAAAACAAAAAGTACATGGCCTGGAGAGGGGAGGGTGGAGGTGGGCCATGAAGAGGGCAGAGCGTGGAGGAAGGAAGCTGCAGGTGAGGGCTGGCGTTCCTAGTTTAAGCTGGGGGAGCTACAATGAGCTGGCTGTAGGGACTGGCAATAAATGGGATGGAGGCCCGGGACTCACACACCCCTCCCACCCTCAGCACCTAACCTGTGTGACCTCAATTGCTTGGCTGAGGGCCACGCCTTCTACCATAGCTTCGGCCGTGTGCTGGATGGCACCCCCTGCACCCCGGGGTCTCAGGGCCTCTGCATAGCAGGCCGCTGTCTGGTGAGGACCCATTGCCTCCCCCTCCTCGCCCCCTCACCCCCCCTCAATCCCCCCTCCACCACTCTCCTTTCCCTAAGACCCCGCCTTTATATGTGGCCCTGCCTCCAGCCAATTATATAAGTCCCGCCCCTACAAACTACAGCCTGCCTATCATCCAGGTCAGGGCCCTAAGCCCCTCTTTCCGTCTCCTTCAAGCCACACCCATTTAACGCCCGGCTCCACCCACCCCCTAGTCACATGCTCGTGGCTCCCCCAATCCTACCTGGGTTCTGCCTAGGCCCTTCCTCCTTTCAGGCCCCGCCCACCACAACTTGCCCCGCCCACTACAGGACCTTATCACCAGACCCTGCCCGCCCACCTTGCTTAGCTCTCACTAGGTCCCTTCCGTGCGCTCTCCAGCCCTGCCTCTTTACCCTTAGCCCCGCCCATTCACTGCTCCCCGCCCATCCTGACCCAGTGTCACTCGCAGAGCACCGGCTGTGACGGGCTGCTGGGCTCCGGCGCTCTCGAGGACCGCTGCGGCCTCTGCGGTGGCGCCAACGACTCGTGCTTGTTCGTCCAGCGCGTGTTCCACGACGCCGGTGACTGCCCCGTCCCGCCTCAGCATGCCATTGAGGAGTATCCTGGAGAGGGGTGTCCCTTTAACAAGTCGGGCTCCCGGGAGCCAAGACTCGTTGATTGGACATTCCGAGGACCCCCTCCTCGAGCATTTCCCCTGACAGAGCATCCCACCCTCTCTCGAACAGGTTTAACCCCTCCCCCGCCTCTCAGTAGCATCTCGTTTAATCCGGAGCTTTCCTTCCCTGTGCACACTCTCGCACCTAAAGTGCACCTCGCCACTGTCAGCCCCAGAGCATCCCTCCCCTGCGCGTCCCAGCTCACCCCTGCTCTGTGTACCCCAGAGCATCTCTCCCCTATGTACCTCAGAGCATCGCTGCCCGGGGTACCCCAGTACGTCCCAGTGCATCCAGCTACTGCACACCCATGCGCACAATAGCGCATCCCAGGAAATCCTGCCGCGCTATACCCACAACCTCCTGCCTACTCCAGGTGCCTTCGCCGGCTACTGGAACGTGACTCTGATCCCCGAGGGCGCCAGACACATTCGCGTGGCACAGCGCAGCCATAATCACCTGGGTACCGCGGGGCGTCTAGGGAAACTAAGGCTGGGGTGTAGGGGACAGGCAGTTCCCTTGAGCACAGGCTGACTGGTTCCTTACAGCTCTGGTGGCCCGCGACGGGCACTACGTGATCAATGGCGACGGGGTGCTCAGCCCGCCTGGCACCTACGAGGTCGCGGATACCCGCGTGGTCTACACCCGGGACGCGAGCCCGGAAGAGACCCTGCAGGCGATCGGGCCCACCTCCCAGGAGTTGTTGTTGCAGGTGGGCCGGCGTGGATGACTTGAGGCGGGAGCCTGGGACAGAGGCGGAACACTGGTGTCAGTTAGATGGGGAGGCAGCGGCCTGAGGCGGAGGGTGGGCCATCAACTCAAGAGCGCCCTCCCGCTCCAGGTGCTGCTGCGGGAGCCCAACCCAGGCGTGCACTTCGAGTTCTGGCTGCCCCGGGAGCGCTATGGTCTCTTCCAGGCTCAGGCACAGGCCCTGAGCTGGCCCCTGCGACAGCCTCAGCCTCGGGAGGTGGAGCCTCAGCTTGCAGAGACCCCTGTGGTCCGGGAGGCCATCCCTGCCCAGGTTGCATCCCTGGCACCAGGTGAGACAGAACAACGCGAGGGGAGGGGGACGGGGGATCAGGCAGGTGACAAGGACCGTGTCACTCACAACACCCCACCCCGTAGACTCCTGCGGGCCATGCCCTGACAGCCGGGGTCGTGCACACCGGCTTCTGCACTACTGCGGCAGCGATTTTGGTGAGGCTCCTGACCTTTGGCCCCTTCTACTAACCCCCATGATCCTTAACTCCTGGATAGTTGCTCTGACGCTCTCCGTTGACCTTAGCTGACTCAACGGCCTGAGGACCCACTTGACCCTCTGTCACCTTTATGCAGTGTTCCAGGCCCGCGTGCTGGGCCGGCACCGCCAGGCCCAGGAGACGCGCTATGAGGTGCGTATCCTGCTCATCTATAAAAGCCGCTCACCGCTGCGCACTCGAGAGTATGTGTGGGCGCCAGGCCACTGTCCCTGCCCACCACTGGCTCCCCATCGAGAGTACCTGTTGGCTGCCAGGCGACTGGTCAGCCATGATGGCACACAGGACCGGCTACTGCTGCCCCACGCTGGTTATGCTCGGCTCTGGAGTCCTGCAGAGGACAGCAGACTTCGCCTGGCTGCCCGGCGCTGTCCAGTCTAAACCCCCAGAGGTTGGAGCCTCACCAGGCTCTTGTTCTGGTGTCGCAACTAATTCGGGAAAATCTCCTGCCAGTATATTTTGAAACAAGGTCTCTCACTGTGTATGTTAACCTTGCCCAGCTGGCCTAGAGTTTGCTGAATAGACCAGGCTGGCCTCGAAGTCACAGAGATCCCCCTGCCTCTCCTCCCGAGTGTTGGGACTAAAGACATACCTGTGCTGTATCCAAGAACTTTAAGGACCTTCAAGATCCTGGTTTCCTTTCCACCAAAAGACTTTGGTCCATCCGTTTTTAAACTACTATTTAATTTTCACAAGAACTTGGAAAAAGAGCAAAGCCCTTCCCATTACTTAGCTGTTCAGGTGTGAGGACACCCCCAATTGAGTGGCAGCCACTGTGCTCAGACACCCCATTACCATCCTTTCCTGACCCTGCCTCCCAGTGCACTGAACCCATTACCAGACCAGCACAGGAAGCATGAGAATTTATGTGTCTCCTGTCCTGTTCTCTATTCAGGCTGAGTTCACTGTAGCTTCTGAACATCATGGCCACTCAGCAAACCATTCCCAGTGAGGCATTCCTTAAAGCTGTCCTGTCTGGGTCCTGTCTCTGTCATGTGGTCTAACTTGTCCACAGTGACCATCCAGCTCTGGGACCCAGAGGCCATTGGACTATCAACCTTGTCCTTGCTTCTTCCCAAGAGCCCCTCTGGCCTCTGACTGCAACTGCACTCTTGAGGGCAGAGCAGTCAGTCACCTCAGACTTCCAAAGGCCTCTGTTTTCCCATCTCTTAGCTCTGTCTGTGAACTCTTATTCCCATGAATACTTACTGAGCACTGACTGTATGTGGAGACCCAGGCGGAAGTGCAGTACTGTTATGGGGTAAGAAGAGGGTCACTTTTTTTAAAATAGGGCTTTATGTAGTAGTCTTTTATGGCACAGGGTGGGGTGCAGAGAGCACCAAGAATCTCTCCAAAATTCCACAAAACTTGTAGTTGGGGGTCTGCAGGGATTTGTGGGGTCCCAGCGCCCCCTGGTGGCTGAATCCCCCAGGCTGGGAGATGGTTGGCAGGGGCCCGCTTCAGCAGGTCTTGGAGACCTCACACCCACCCATAATGGCTGTCTAAGGTGACACTAGAGACCAGGACAGGTCATCTCTGGCCAGGTCCTGGTGCTGAGGCCAGTGCACATGACAGAGGCCAGATGTTCCCCTGGACTGCAGCATTGCTCAGCCTGCTGGTTCCAATGACAGGTAGCCATCCCCACAAATGCTGTTCATCTCAAATTTGGATCTTTGTGGTAACCAATAAAGAGGGGGGATGTTTTAATTTGAAAACATTGAGAGTCATTAGTAAATAGAAATAAAACCATAGGAAGAGGCTTCTCTGGTCCAGGACTGTGATCCCAGCGGGGAGTGGAGGCAGGAGGATCATCGGGGCTGCCTGGGAAACTTAAGAACCTGTTCCAAAATAAAAAGTAGATAGAGTGGCCCAAAGCTGTGGCTCAGGTGGAAAAATGATTGCTCCGCAAGCCTGAGGACCTGAGTTCAAATCCCCTGGAGCTGTGTAAAAAGCTGGACAGAGGATCCTGGGGCTGACGGCCAGTCAGGCCAAATTCATGACTTCCTGGTTTAGTGAGATGGAGAGTCGGTAAGGTCTCATGTAGCCCAGGCTAGACCCTAACTCACTATGTAATGAAGACTACCCTGGTATCCCCCAATCCTAACCTAACCCATACATGGCTGATCTGTGGTTTACATTAACAGGCCAAGGTGAGAAACAAAGTCTGCTTCTGGCATGAGGAGGGCCCCTCCCTTCCACTGTATCTCCATTGGCTGACCTGGGTGGGTGGGGACCACCTTACAGGGAAGAAGCTATTGCAAGTTCCCTTCTGTAGTCGTCCCATCCCCAACTCTAAGCAAGCTGGATTCCCACCTACCCCAATCATGCCTCACCCCAGGCCAAACTTGTGGTCAGATCACATTTTCAAACCAGCTGTTGCAACCTGTCTCTAGTGTCCAAGGGGACAATTACCTGGGCCTGAGGGAGGTTAATGCCCACCCTGGATCCTTCCAGAGCAAAAGCCAAAGTCCTCCCCAGGATCTCCAAGAAAATGCAGGCTGCTCTGCCCTCAGGCTTCCCTTGTCTTCTCAGGCTCCATCACCCTATCTGCTACAGGGAGAAGGGCTTTTGCTCACTGCCTCCCCAACATGCTAGTCTCCATCCTGACTCAGGACTTTGCACAGGCTGCCCTCTGCCCCAGAGCCTTTGGACTGCTGTCCAAAGTCTTCATGGTCTTATTTATGCAATGATTTGCTTACATTTTATTAACTTTTTTTTTCTTTTTTGAGACAGGATGTCTCTGTACCTTTGGTGCCTGTCCTGGAACTCACTCTGTAGACAAGGTTGGCCTCAAATTCAGAGATTTACCTCTCTGCCTCCCGAGTGCTGGGACTAAAGGTGTGCACCACCATCACCCAGTTTTTTAGGAGTTTTAACTTGTCATGTAGCTAGCCCTGGCTGGCCTGGAACTGCTATGTAGACCAGACTGGCTTCAGATTCAGAGATCCTCCTCCTGCCTCTACCTCCCATGTGCTGGGATTAAAGATCTGTGATACCACACCTAGCCCAAATGCTACTGAAAAGGTCTTTATATAGCCCAGACTAGCTTTTTCTAACTCCCTCCGCAGAGAGGGTGATCTTAGCGCATTGAGTCTTCCCCTTCTACATTTGAATGCACCAAGGCAGGGGGATGGCTGTTGACGGCTCTAAGCTGTTCCACTTTCTGGAAATCATGTTGGATGCCTAGAGGCCACTCGGTGACAGTCCTGTGAGCAAATACATTAGAGCTTATAGCTGATCCTACTGCTGTTTCTACTGGATATTCCATTTGAAAGGCTATGAGTGGATAGTGTGGGGCTGAGGGTGTGGTCAGGGTGGGGCCCTGCCTAGAATTCCTCAGTGAGAGTCTGGGGTATGGTCAGGTTTGGAGCAATGGTACAGTATTCAGGAATCCCTGGATTCCATCCCAGAACTATAAAAAGTAAAATGTAAACACCGACAGTCTTGGTCTGTGATCAGGTTGTCTGCAGAGTACTGATCTCAAGTGCATAGTCCAGCACTGCACCTGCCCAGAAAGTCTCAGGTGTGTCAAGAGCTGTCCTCTCCCATGACATCACCTGCTTGATATTCCTGGCTTCCTCTTCAAGCAAATCTATATATAGGATTTGAATTTCCCACCTCTGCTTCTGGGGAAGGAACTTGGCCACAAGTCTATGACAGAGGTGGTGGTGGTGTGATTGATCTGTGTGTGGCTGTGTTGTTCAAACTGATATAAGGAGGGGAAAACAGAAAGAAAACGGAGGAGGGAGCCTCAAGAAACTGTCCAAAGAACCAGGTGTGATGCTGTTACAGAGGATCCAAGTTCAGTTCCCAGCATTCATGTTGGTGGCTGCAACTGTGCCTCTGGCAGTAATGGGCACCTCATGCACAGACCAACAGACAGATATAAAAATTAAAAATCTTAGAAAACCCCAAGAAATCTTTGTGGTCTTATGAACAATGACATGGAGAGGACTGGCTGGGGTGATCTCAATAAACTCCACTCCCAGCCAGACCTGGCCCATTGCATGTTTTTGGCCTGTGCCTGCCTGGTCTATCTGGAGCGAACACTAATAGTATTTTCTTCCCACGCAGGGTGGCTTATAGTGGTGATATCAGAACCTGAGTGGTTGAGGCAGGAGACTGTTTCCAGCCAGCCTGGGCTACACACCAAAATGCTGTCTCAGGGAGAGAGAACATGGGTTTTCTCCCTGGGTTTTTGCATGTCTTGGCCCCTTAGGCAGGACTCAGGTAAGTGACCTTGCCTCCCCGACTCAGTTTCCTTGGTTCTGACCACACAGTTGTTAATTTCTGATAGCAGCCCCCCAGCAGCTGAACTGACACATTCGTGGGCCTGAGCGGGTGATTTTATTGTGTCTTGGAGGAAAGATGTTATGCACGGGACCCCCAGATGGTGTTCCTCATAAGGTTCCTGTGGTAGATGCATCACATGGGAATCCATGGGCAGGTTTTACAGGGGGGGGGGGGCATCCGGTGAGTGTTTCACATGGTACCATGGTGGATGTTTGACTTTGTTCTGTGGGTGTTTTCTGTGGTTCTCATGGATGGGTGTCTGATGTGACTCATATGGTGCTCTGGTGGTCTAGTGTTTCATGTGGCTCCTGTGGGCAGGTGTCTAAGCATGGCCCTAGTATGCCAGGTGCTGTAAGAGCCAGCAGTGTCTCGGGCACCGCAGCTGGTGACTATAGCTCGGCCACTTACAGGTGATCTCCGTTGTGGACTCGGACACATATTCCAGAGAGGACTCAGAATGACAGGGAGCCATCAAATCAGGCACTGAGCTGCTGCCAGCCACCTCTGTGACCTGTGTCTTCTGACTTTGCTTGTTGTTCTTAGAACCCACATCCCCTGGCTCACTGGGGGCCTTGTTGCCAGCCTGGTTAGGGTCAGGGAGTGTGCTGGGTGACTGGGCCCTGGGTGAGCCTTGGTTGGAGACGCTGACACGCTGTGTAGAGGTGGGTGCTGATGAAACTGCTGTCGATCGACCAGCCTGCTGGCCTGATGCTGGGGCCTGAGGGGTCTGCTGGTTGTTTCCTAGGTACCGGCTTGCTGTCCGAGCGGGTCCTGCAGAATGGCCTGTTGGTTGTGAGGGCCCCCCAGATCGCATGGCTGGTTGAGAGGGCCCCAAGGATGCACTGGGGAGCCGGGTACGCTGTGCAGGCCTGGAAGTCACACTGCCCCGGCTGCGATGGCCCCGGGCCTTGCTGGGAACCTGGGAGCCACTGACAGAGCCAGTGGCCAGCTGGCCCCGGGACGCAGATGCGGAGCCTGGGCTGACTGGGGACGGGGACTGCCCGTTCATGGCTCGTGACGGGCTTCCTGCTGTCTTACTTGGGCTCGAAGTTCGGCGTTGGTGTTGGGTCTCTGTCTGGGAGTCCGAGGAGGAGTCAGTGGCCTGGGTGTCAGCAGCATGTCCCTTGTCATTGGCCAGGGGCTCCGCGCACAGACTGCCAGGGGACCTCACTTGTGCTTCAGGAGCGGAGTCTGACTTGACTTGGCTGTGGAGAGGAAAGGGATGGTGTATGAGGGTAGATGAGAGTGGCTGGGGAGCTGGTGGGAATGTGTCCCCAGCTCAGGTGCAGAGATGAGCTGGTCATCCCCTGCAGACATCCGAACACAGACCCGACACACTCTACCCCTCGTGGGCGCATGCACACACTTGTCCATGGACACCTGCAGTAGCACCACCATACATACACACACGGATGCAGAACCACACTGAATGCACACAACCCCTGCATAGTCCCTCCTGGGAATTACATACGGTCCGGTTCCAGAGCGGCTGGGGGCTCCGTTGTTGATGCTGGGGTGATGAGAGCTCGGCCCCGTGCTAGGGCCTGCAGTACTGGTTCCGGACAGCCAGGGAGAGAGAGGCGGACAGTAAGAGAATAGCAGAGCCATGCAGGGGGTGGTCAAGATGCAAGACAGGGAGTGTAGCCATAGTCAGGAGTCTCGAAACAGGCCGACAGACAGAGGCAAATCCAGCCAAGGGAACAGACAACGGAGGCAGGGTCAGTTGAGACCCAGGAGCCAGCTGGGGCAGTGTGACAGTCACACCTGTCATCACAACACTCAGGAAGGCAAGATCAGAATCCAAAGGTGACCCTCAGCTACTGAGGTGGAGGCTAGCCTGGGCTACATATCTGATGGCACACAACTTCAATCCTAACTCTTGGGAGGTTCCAAGATCTCTATGAGTTCCAGGCCAGCCTGGTATACATAAGATCCTGTCTCAAAAAAACAAACAAAAAACAACCCCAAGGGAAAAACAAATACCCCCCCAAATCCAGATCACACCCATTGAGCATCCACCCCCGGTACACACCGTCCCTGGTTATCCCAGCTGCTATGTCCAATGCTCTTCCGCTTAGCTGGCTCACGGCGCTGTCTAGGGCTATGTGGTGTTTTAGAAATAGTGGTCGTATGACGCGATGGTACAGTATTAGAGCCCCGTTCCACGGTCCCGGGCTCATGCAGAATAACAGGAAGGCGCACTGTATGGAGACACACCGTGCGGTCACACAGGGCCCTGCCACACACACAGGATACATCACACTGTCACATAGGCTCCCTGCCCCTTTTCTCTGCCCTTCCCCAATGGGGCTGATGGCCTGCCCACCTTGCCCGCGTAGTAGAAAGGGAACCAGAACAGGAGTAGATCGCTGAAGAACTCGACCAGGCCGAACAGGGCGTACACCACCCAGTAGGTTAGCCA